CACAATAAACAGATCCTGAGAGAATGGGAGAAAATTGTGCAACAGAACTCAAGTTCTTAAAAGTTCAGACTTACTGGACCTAATGAGGCTAGAGGACTTCCTGAAACTATTGTTCCAGGACACTCCTTAAACTTTGAACTGAAACTATCCCCTTAGGCCACATTTTAGCTAAATAACAGTCTCATAAAATAAAGACTATCACTCCTGAGTACTGCTCTCTTTTGAAAAAGCATCTATATGAGACCAAATGGTCAATAATTACTCTAAAGCAAAAATGAGAAGATAAGGGGACAGGAAAACTAGATCACTGAAAATGGAGCAAGCAGACAGAAATGAGAACATCGACACATAATGAAAAATATAACTGTCACTGAGTAATTTTTATGTAGAAATTGCTAAATGGGAACCTAATTTGCTGGTTAAACTTTCACCAAAAGCACAATAAAATATTAATTTTTTAAAAAAATCAATAAACATAGAAAGATGTTTCCAAATATTGAGAGATCTGCAAGATACAATGGACCAGGCTTAAAGGCCAAGGACTGCCTGAGGTAGAGAATCTAATAGGAGACTCCATATGGGCTTTGGACTCCAAATGACTCTCTACACAAGGAGAAAGTAAGGAAACTTGCTTATCTTGAACTTGTGACTCATTAAAACAAAAAATTATGAAACAACAAAAGGGTAAGAATAGCCAACACATGCCTGATCAAAAAAACAAGGTTCACTATGAGTTGGAATCAACTCGATGGCTGTGGATTTGGTTTGGTTTGGTTATCATTAAAGCTAGGGGTCCCTTGATGATGCAAACGGTTAACACTCTCAACTGCTAACTGAAAGGTTAGAGGCATGAGTCTACCCAGAGTCTCCTCAGAAAATGTCCTGACAAACGACTTCTGAAAAATCATGCATTCAAAAACCAATGGAACACAGTTTTACTCTGACACACATGAGCTCACCATGAGTCAGAGCTGACTACATGGCAACTGGTAAAATTATAAAGCTATAAAAATTGAGACAGTGTGACATTGCCACAGAGTTAGACCAACAGACTAAGAGAACAGAAAAGAGACACACAGGACAATGGATAAATGGGAATGGCTCCTCAGTGGGACAGGAAAGGATGAACTATTCAATAAATTGTGGTGAGACTGCTGGTTATCCATGTATAAAAAAATATACTTGTATCTCTATACCATATCATACATAAGAAATAATTTCAGATGAACTAAGACTTAAATGTCATAGGAAAAACTCAAACAGTTTTAGGAGACAACAGAGAATGATATCTTTTTTACCTTGGTATAGGGAAAGATTTCTTACAAAGATTTTCTAAAAATGCAAACCAAAAGAGGAAAGGCTGAAATTTCACTGTATGATAATTAAACTTCTGTTCATCAAATTTTCTAGCAGAGACACTGAGTGAACAACAGCCGCAGGCAGCAAAATGGGCAGATCCAACTCAAAAGCACAATCTTGAGTGAAAGGCAGTCATTGAAGAATATATGCAATATCATTATAGTGTAGGCAGATTCAAAAGAAAACAAAAACATATGCTGGCCAGTTGAATTCAAATTCAGATAAACAATGAATAATTTTTAGTGTAAGTATGTCTCATGTATTGTTTATCTGAAATAGAAATATTGCACAAGACATAATTATTCTGAAAAACAAATTTGAATCTGAAATTCAAATTTCAGATCTTAGATGAAGATCAAAAATAGAAAACTCTAAAAATTAAAACTATGAAGAAGATCAAGGGAATGGTTGTCTTAAAGTTCAGGATGGTGCTCAGCTGCCTGGGAGAAAGAGCAGGAGGTTACATGGAACCTTCTAGGACCTGGTAATTCTGTCTTTTAATTGTATGGTAGGTTCAAATATATAAATTTTATCACTAACCTTTGAACTATGCATATGTATTTTATACATGCTTTCTATATAAAATGTATTTCACAATAAAATGCTTTTAAAAAGGATATAAACTAACATGCAAAGCATTTTTTAATGTTAAGATTTGCTTAAAGAAAAGAGTAAGAATATACACAAATGTGTTAAAAATGGTCTAACTCACATGGTTACAGATGATTTTATTTTCTTCTTTGTGCTTAATCCTAATTGCATGAAATTCATAAATATAGTTTCTGTAAAATGATAAAGGTTGTTATTCATTTTTGCACAAAGAGTATACTGTCCTCACCACTCAATGTGGCATATAATATGCAGTTCACAGGCTGATCCACCTAGAGGGGACCATATGAGTTACTTGTAATGCTTAGAACCTGTGAGGATACTTCCAGCCTAAAAAAAAAAAAAAAACCAGATACATCACTTTTCTGCTTGTTTTGATCTTGCTCACATGAGAAATTATGCTACCGGTGATGCTTTTCAGAAACCCCAGCAGCACTATTAATGTCACCTGCATCTATAATTAGGAGCTCTGGTGGCTAAAATTAGCAGTTTGGACCTACCAGCCTCTCTGTGGGAGAAAGATGAGGCAGTCTGCTTCCACAAAGATTTACTGCCTTGGAAATGCTGTGGGGTAGTTCTACTCTGTCCTAAAGAGTCACTATGAGTCCAAATCAATTCAAAGACAATGGGATTAAATTGTTTGTTTTGTTTTTTCTTTTATTTTTTGGTATCTATAATTTACCAGTACATAGAGACCATTGAAATGAACTGAGAGAAAACAAGTGGGACCCTGGATTCATGGGTATATTCATAAAGTAAATCTTACTATTATTTCTTGCTCTCTTTTTAAACTCATTCAGTGGGAATCATCCTTATCTTGGTCCTGGATGAAAACGTGGGAAGCTGTTGAATTTTCTGCTTCTCCATGGCTAATGCCTGTACCTGTTGCTTTCAAGTCGATTCTGACTCATAGCAACCTTATAGGACAGAGTAGAACTGCCCCTTAGGGTTTCTAAGGCTGTAATCTCTATAGAAGTAGACTTCTGCAACTTTCTCCTAAGAAGCGGCTGATGGATTGGAACCTCCAACCTTTTGTTAGCAGCCAAGCTGTTAACCATTGCACCACCAGGGCTCCTTTCATAGCTAATAGACACTTTAAAATGTAAATACAGTCTCAGTTCATTAATTCAGTATATTTCCACTTCAATATATTTATCAATATTTCACTCTTCAAGACTGCTACACTGACCCAGCCCAGGCCTTCTGCCTGAATGAAGGGCTGAGAACAGGTACGTTCTGCTGCTACTGCTACCTTCCCCAACTTAGAGATGTCTGCCTCTATGCCCCACCCATCATTCTGCAATGTACGTCATTGACTCGCACTACTTACAGATGGTTTGGTGCTCTTTGAGCTTGGTAGGCATTTAAAGTTAATTTTTTCTCTTATATGCCCTTTAGTATAGTGTTGGCAGATTCAGAAAGAAAACAAAAACATATGCTGGCCAAGTGAATTCAAATTTCAGATGAACAATGAATAATTTTTAGTGTAAGTATGTCTCATGTATTGTTTATCTGAAATAGAAATATTGCACAAGACATACTTATTCTGAAAAACTATTCATTATTTATCTAAAATTTAAATTTCACTGGATATTCTTCCTTTTTTTTCTGGCAACCCTATCAGAGACTCTTCCGTTGGGCCCCCCAGTATCCCTCTCTAAATCCAGTCAGTGTCTCTGCTCCAACTGGGTGTTCCTCATCATCCCTCAGCTTCTGCCCTCGCAGTACACTTACTACTTCTTGCTGCTGAGGTCTACTCACTCAGCAAGATACTCTCTTGGGCAAGATTCATTTTTATATGCTCCCAAGCTAATGTTCCTACTAAAAGTGCCGTATCTTCTCCCTGGAATTCACTCACATTTGACTCACCTCTTGATGAGTTTAAGGAGCTTCAGTAGCGTAGTGACTAAGGCACTTGACTGCTAACCAGAAAGTTGACAGTTCAAATCCACAAGCCACTCTCAGCAGGAAGACTGGGCAATCTACATCTGTAAAGATTTACCACCTCAGAAACCCAAACGGGGTTGCTAAGACTCAGAATCAACTTGATGGCAGTGAGTTTGGTTTGGTTTGGTTTTCTGGATGGTTTGCAGCTCCTTCTGAAGCCCTAGAAGCCAGGCCTGTGTGTTACCAGGCCTGTGTGTTCACCAATATTAAAACCCACTGCCATCCAGTTGATTCCAACTCATAGAGACCTACATTGGGCTTCCAAGACTGTAAATCTTTACACAAGTAGATTGCCTCATCTTCCTTTCCAGAGCAGCTGATGGGTTTGAACTGCCAATGCAATATTAAAACTCAAACCAAACTTACTGCCATCAGGTCAAATCCGACTCATAGCAACCCCTCCTTGAGTTTCCGAGGCAGTATCACTATAGAAGTAGGATTGCCCAACCTTCCTTTCGAGGAGTGTCTGTTGGGTTTGAACCACCAGCCTTCTGGTTAGCAGTCAAGTGCCTTAGGCACTATGCTACCAGAGCTCCTTTGGAGGTGGCAATTCTGTGCACTCCCTGCCCCCTGGATGGTGGTGTGGAGGTGGGGGAAGAAACTAACAGTGATCAAAGAAATGATTCTCTCATAAAATTTTCTCACAATCTCCACAATCTCAACCATTTAAAATCTTTACTGTGGTAAGGGGTTCAGTAATTCCATAACCAGTTATTAGCTCTTCCCTTTAAAAATGTGGATCTTGGTAGCTTGAATCATAATTAACTTTGATATGCAAAATCTTTTATATCTTGGAACCGCTGTCCAAAATACCAAGATGGTGGTAGTATTGTGTGCCATCAAGTTGTCTTGGACTCATAGTGACCCCATGTGATGTGATACAAAGCTTCTCATAGGATTTTATGGAGGCATAGCATTAAGTGCTCCTGTGAGTCACTGGGTAGGTTTGAATGGCCAACCTTTCAATTAGCAACAGAGCACTTAACTGTTTGCACCAAGAAGACTCCTTCTCATTGTAATACAATAGTGTATATCCATCTTTGCTCAAATGCTCAAATCATGCTATCTGCTCTCTCAACCTATAGCTGTGACTGTCCCACTGAGTGGAAAGGGGCGTTCTGCACGGAGGCCATTTCCACTTGTGATCCTCAGCATGACCCTCCACACCAATGCAGCAAAGGAGCAACCTGTGTTTCTTTGCCTGATGGATACACCTGTTACTGTCCTCTAGGAACTACTGGAATGTACTGTGAACAAGGTGAGTCCAGGTGTCAACTCATTTTGTTGTCCAACAATTTAAGGTAGCGTCCTCTTTAGAAAACAAAAGATATATAATAAAAGTAGAGTCCATTATCTCCTCTCCCAACAAATTAGAGATTTTATTTTACAACTAGGATAGCAATCAAAATTCCATGATACAAAATGAAGTTTATTTGGGGAATTACTTTAATATAGTAACTCTAAATACTCATTTAGTCTAAATATTCCAGATTGTTTCTGGTAAATTCAGTCAAATCCAGTGAGTTTACATTCAAAACTCAGTTCCAGAATAAGTCCCCATTTTGATTTCTCTCTCGGTACCTTCCATCTTACTCAAAATTCTCAGGAGAATCACCAGGCAGCTATGTCAGCTCCAGAGGAGAATAGGAAACATTTAAGAGATAAAAAGACACACGCCATTAAGGATAATAAGGAGCTTTCAATTTTTTTAATGTCTCATCTGTTTGACTGTTGTTCCTTGTTCCTTTGTGATTGCTAAGGTCCTTATTACTGGTGCAAACTATGGTCATGACTCTGAGGAAGCTCAGCAATCTTCTGGTGTGTCCCACCTGGGCTATAGCTGTTGCTAAGAATATGCTTAGAGCAGAGGCACCTCCCCTTTAATCTCTAGCTTGCAAAAAAACTTCTGGATTTCCTCCATATCACAAAGGAGGGACATAGGGAAGAGTGGAACTGACAGTCCTGCTCCCTCCCTACTCAATAGAGATGGACAAAAGTCATTCCCTCCTCCTTTCAAATTCATCATGCTAACCCCAGTGACGCTAGAAGGACCAAATGCAGTCATGTATTTGAATTCCTTTTGTGAACTGCAAAAAAAAAAAAAAACACCTATAAAACTGGTAAATAGACTCCTTGCAATAATCAATCGAGGGAGAACAGAAGGGCAGTGTTTGCTGAGGGAGGCAGAGTGGGATTGCATGGGAGGGAAGGACACAGAAAAGAGGTAACTACAGGGAGGAAGTGGGAAGAGAGCTGTTTCATGGTGGGGAATTGCAGTCAATGTCATGAAACAAAATGTGTATGAACTGCTGTATGGAAAATGAATTTGCTCTGTAAACTTTTGCCCAAATCACAATAAATTTTTTTTAAAAAACTGTCAAATTATAAATCATATTTTGAATCATGTATGTAGAAAGATGATCATATGTAAAAACTGACCTATTTAAAATACAGGTAACTTACGTTCATTCATGGCCGAATGGACCCTATCAAAGGTAATAGGAAAGTCTCTAAATTCTTGGGCATTTCTTCCATGAATATGCAAATTTTCCATATTCACCATTCATTGTCATTGGTATAGGGAGTTACAGCGGTGTAGAAGCACAGAACTGCATTAAACATTACTAATCATTCCTTAGTCCAATGATATTAATTTATAAATGAGGAAATTAATATTCAGAGATTAAATGATGTACCAAAAGTCTCAGAATTGAGTCTTGTAACTCCTAATCCAATTATTAGTAGATGCTTAATAATGAGTTAATATATGTAAATACAACCAGACCATCATCAAGTTCAAAACACTCTATTTCTAGTTTTTCATTGTCCCTCATATTAGCCATTCCTTGAGTAATTATAGTATAGGTTCTAATGATCTGAAAGTAGCACATTTATCAACAAACTATTGTATTCAAATTGGCTTAAAAACCTAGTAAGTTGACAATCTAGTCATTAAAAATGGAATAACTTCAAAATTAAATTTATATTTCATTAAGTTATCAAACATTGGGATTGAAAAGAGCATTAAAAATCACTCAATCCCGTGTATCCAAGATCATATATAGGGTTGGCAGACAATGGGCCTATAAGTTCATGTGAATGATCAGAATTCCCAGGTATATAGTAGAGCTGACAAGGGGCAAGGTTATGGTCATTACTTGGTCACAGCCAGCTACCCAGAGGGACCGAGTAGTTGATCCGGCGGGCTTGGGACTATAGTCGCAGGGGACATCAAGCTCAATTGGCATAACATACTATACAAAACATTGTTCCACCTCCTACTTTCGCGAGTAGGGACTGGGACCTTAAAAGCTAGGAAGCTGCCATCTAGATGCAACAATGGGTCTCTCCTCGTCAAGAAGAAAGAAGAAAACCAAAATTAATGGAAACAATCAGTCCTAGCGACTGGTACACCATCCAATCTGCAACCTATACAACTATGAGACCAGAAGAACTAGATGGTGTCCAGCTACCACTGCCATCCACTTGGAAGGGATGTAGGAGATCCTGCATAGAGAGGGAGAACAATGTGGAACAAAACTCAAAATCATTTGGAGGCAAAAAAAAGAAGGTGGGGACCAGGTTTGCTGGTCCAATAGAGCCTGGTGTAACCACTGAGACTATGGCCCCTAGCTGCCCTTCAGGTCTGGAATTGAACCCACAACTGTGGTTTCCAGCCAAACAAAGTACAGGCATGTGAGTTAAACATTTACCTCAAGGAGACACACGCCCTGGAGAGAACAATCATGGGAGAAGGAAGGGCTGCTTATGCACAGGGAGATAGCTCAGGGTGCAGAAGAGTATGAAGGGATGGACACTGGCAGGAGGTAACTATGGGGAGGAAGTGGGAGGGGAGCTGCTGCATTGTAAATTTTGGTCAATGACATGAGACAAAGTATATGTGAACTGCTGTATGAAAAGTGAATTTACTCTGTAAATCTTCACCCAAATCCTAATAAAATAAATAAATAAATAAATAAATAAATCACTCAATCCCGAATACTCATTTGAAAGTCTTAAAAATCAAGGCAAAGAACTATGACAGAATAAGAATGAGAATTTAAGTCTTCATACTGACAAACTTTCCATTAGACCACATTGGTTATATTTGTAAGCAAAATATAATATCTAGAAATCCCACGAAAAAAATAAGTGTAAATATGTATGTTCTGTCACCATGAGTCACTGTCAACTCGACAGCAACTAACAAACAACACAGTAGACAAAACTGGTTAATGAAATATCCTCACTCCAGTATTTTAAAGAGTTCTATGCATTTTAAAATGTGTAAGTCTCCGAGGACAGGAGTGGCTCAGGGAAATTTTCTATCCCAAGTAGTGTGAAATTCTGTAAATTGTGTGTGAAATTAAGTAGTAAAATTCTGATTTCACCCATCCTTTTTTTTGTTTTTTGTTTTGTTTTTTTTTTTTTTTTTGAGATGTTTGACTAATGGGTAAACATCCTTAAAAACTTTACCTATAGACAGAAACAAAAACATTTTATTTTTCTTTGTTTACTCCTCTTGGCTTCCCCTTCACCGAAGTTAATATGTGTCTACTCTCTAGTTAGTGATTTACCCTTCCTTCCCCTCCCACCCCTGGTAACCATCAAGGAATATTTGTTTTTGTTTGAAACTCTTTTCTTGACTTTTTACAATAGCAGTTTCATGCAATATTTGTTCTACAAAAACCGTTTTTAAAACAAGGGAAAAAATATCCCTGGTCGGCATATTTTCTTATCACTTACACCTCAAAACTTCTTTAGAATTCTACTGAGGTACATTGCTATGGTAGGTGAGACATCAACTGACCATTTGAATCCAGAAGCTTTAGGGTCACAGCCACCACCAAAAGCAATCAAAATTATGTAGCCTAAAATTATAAAAAGAAGACTAGGCTTACTCGTCTGATAGGGACTGGGGGGACCCCCAAGACCACGATCTTTTGTCACCCTTCAGGTCTGGAACTGAACTCACTCCTTTGGCTCAACTTTCAGCCAAACAATAGACAGTCCTACAAGGTGAACAATAACACCAGGAAAGTATACACTCCTTAGAACAAGCAACCACAGGAGAAAAAAAGGGAGGATTTGTGCGGGAATAAAGCTCAGAAGGCAGAAATGAATAGGAAACAAAAACAAAGAAGGGAACCACAGGGCGGAAGAAGGAAGAGAACTGGTATATTGTGGGGATTTCAATCAAGTTTCAAAACAAAATGTGTATGAACTGTTGATTGGAAAAGTAATTTGCTCCGTATACTTTCACCCAAATCACAATGAAATATTAAAATATATATGTTGGGGGGCAGGGAGAGCCTACTTCCTGAAGCGCAAATATCCACAAAGATCACATTGTTGGAATCAGGAATTAGCTTGAGAGGTGTGTTTTTTGAAATCCTGCAGGCAGTATCAAAAAAAGCAGTTGTCATGAAGTCAATTCCAAATTATGGTGACTCTTATGTAATAGAGTTGCAGAGTAGAACTGCTCTGTAGGGTTTTTATGGCTGTCATCTTTTGGAGGCAGATGGTCTGCCCTTTCTTCCAAGGCACCCCTGGGTGGATCTGAACCACAAACCTTTCAGTAGTAGCCAAGTGCTTAACCATTTGTGCCACTCAGGGGTTCCTGAGGACCATCTAACAGCTTAAAAACTCAAACTGAATATAAAGAAGGGTTATCAGCAAGGAATAGCATCTGAGTTTAATATTTCACAAGGATTACTTATCTTAGTTTATAAAGAAATATTAACAAGCTAAACTAGAATATAGGACATTTTGCAGTCCAGGGGAGTCATTAAAATATTCTAACAGGATTCCAGTTCACAGATATTTTGTGAGAACGACAACTGTGAGATTTTATAGATGTCCAGCATCTTTTCTCTTACACTCCTATCTTGCTCGTTTGCTCATTTCTCCAATGTTATCACTGTCTTTCTTGTTAGAATTTATGATTTTTAACTAACATATAGCCTTCCCTGAATCATAAAATCTCCTTTCAGTTTATTGTTTTCTATATTATTTGTAATATGCCTAAGGCATTTGACTGCTAACCAAGAGGCTGGCGGTTCAAACCCACCAGCCACTCCTCGGAAGGGGCAATCTACTTCCGTAGTGATACTGCCTCGGAAACCCAAGGAGGGGTCACTATGAGTCGGGTACGACTTGACGGCACATAGCAACAACAACAACGTATTATTTGTAAACATTTCCCCCCAGCTTAGTTTTAATACTACTAAATTCTAGCTACAGCATATTTTGACATTC